TCGTAGTTATCAGTTTTTTGACATGCAAACAAGGTGGAAGGGTCAAGTCTAGATCTGCTTTGTACTGACCCTTTCACCTTGTTTGTTTGCGTTTCTAAACAAAAGAATATTTGACTGCAGGTTCAACTGCAATGACAGCTATTTTACCCACTTGATTCAAACACATTTATAATTTCCATCCTGGAGGCAGAGTTGTGCAATGCAGCTGGCTGTTGAAGAAAGGTGATTGTTAGTGAAGGGTTCCTGTTACTGGTCTCTGGATGTGAGGTCTACATACTAAATAACTAAACCAAAGGAACAGAGCTGGCATAATATTAATCATTCAATAATTAGTCAATGGTGGTCCTTGCCTAGTTTCTCAGCTTCATTAGTCAGCCTCATTTTAAAATTGATCATTCACCCCAGGGTTGCGCTCTAGAGGTGCTGACATCCGTACTCAAGTGTCGATCAATAACCTCGATCAATACTCTCGATTGACACTCAATTAACACTCCAGCGACACTTCATCGACACCTCAGTTGACACTCCATCGACACTCTATCGACCTCTTGGTAGACAGTTGGTTGAGTCAACTAATTTTTGATCGATGCATGTGAGTGGGTCGACACTTAGCCAACTATTGACTCACTGTTGATCGAGTGTTGACAGAGCATCAATCGCGATGTTGACTGAGTACCGATCCAGATGTCGATCGAGGGTATCAATTGAGAGTAAACATGTAGATGGACACTTGACCACAGGTATCTTTAGTACCCATGATCTGAGGTGCCTGGGTGCCACAGGTCACTAACTTTTGCCTTTGGGCGACTGGAAAAACTTACTTTTTTCTTAATTATAAGCTTTAGTGCTGGACACCCAGGATTTCACAGTTAGGAACCTTTAAGCTCCTGATAATTTTTCTTAGCCCACAACCTTGCACCCTTTGGTGACATCACCAATTGAATAAGAAAATTAAAGACCTAGGCTTGGGCAAAAGGCAAGCATCAGAACCTGCATATTAAGGTCACGGTTCTACTGATTGCCAGCTCAGGGTTCCACAAGGAACAGGTTTTATGCGTGGAAACAATTCTTAAACTGCTTTTCATTCTCTCCAGATTGTATTTGAGGAAAGGAAGAGGGGAGACAAGAATTTGCAAGATTTACGACTCGCCATGTTTGCCTGAGGCTGAAGCCATGTTTGCCATTAATGCAGATGGTGTTGGAGATGCCAAGGACTAAAAGATGCAAAGTGCAAAATGGCATCTATTTGTTCAGTGGACATAAACTCCTGACTCGTACTGTAATTTGAAATACTTCTAGTTGCCTTAATTTCAACCTGTAAATACACAGCCATCTCATGTTGCATGCAAAATCCTTGTGTATCACACAGTTTCAAACAAAAGCATAAAAATCAACAGAAGGACAGAAGGTGGACAAGTATTTTCGTCATGAACTCAAGAAAGATTTACACGAATAGTTTGATATATTATTAATTGAATGAAAGAACTGCATTTTGATGTAACATAGAATTTGAGAGGATTCGTGCAAGCATGCAAATATTGTAAAAGGGAATCTTAAAGATTATAATTCATTCATTTTCCAAATTACTTTGATTTTGATTAAGGCTTCAAACAAATTGCTTATTCAGTGTGCCCCAATTAGTTTCTAAACTTGCTGTAGGTCAGATTTTTTAATTAATGTAAAGAGCCATACAATTTTGAAAAAGACCCACTTAGAGTCATAGTCCAACAATAGGCAATAAAACGTACATGTGTTTAGAAGCAAAGTTATGCATGACAACATTTTTATTCTCCTGGAGGAAAAAATCGACATTGACTGCTAACCATTAAAATGAAAATAATGTCATGTCTTTTGTGATAATAAATTATATTCTTTATTGAAACAAAGAGGATGGAGATAATTGACCTGCATTGTTGGATTCGTTAATGCGTCAAATATTGGTTATTTTCCGCTAAACATCATGACATGTGACATGACCTGTCAGAAGAACCAAATCTACTTCTAAATATGAAGGATGTGATGTTATAACCTTAATATTACTGCGTGCTAAATTTGGTTCCATTGTCATTTATGTCTTCAGATATATAACTAATAATATTACTCTCAGCAGTAAAAGTTTTTGACCCATGCCTTAAACTGCTTGAATTATGCACTTGCTGATTTTGCCTCAGTAATATATAGCTTTAGCCACACCTGATTGCAATAAGTCAACCATAGAGGAAAAAAAAATAATTTGTTTTTCTTTGATCACGAACTCAAAAAATGATCAATTCTTAGCATGTAATTGTTCAGCATGTAGCTTCACTATTTTTTCCTGTTCAAAACTTAACGATGACTTTCCAAGAGAGGTTTGTGCAAGGAATGTCTCGGAAAAATTAGAGAAGGAACAATGTGCCAGGGATTAATTTGCACAGAAATTTTGCCTTCGCACATACTCCCTCCTTCTCCCTCAGAGTAATAACCTGACTTGAGCCTGCAATCCAATCAGAAAACCAGTATCTGGGCAGTGGGCAACTTTAAAATTACACCTCAGTTAGCTCTAAACCTGAGCCCGCGATATGGCGGATACCTTGTTTTGACAGATGTCAGTTTACCATAACATGGATGTCCAGTAGCAAAGATGTACCTATGGTAATGGTGCTTCCCTCTTATTTTTCAAGGTATTAGGCTTGGCGTACGGACAGTCACGTGACAACCTGAATTTTTGAGATCGATGGGTTACCAAATTTTCTACTGGTATGCGGCTCCACTCACGTGCCTTCGGCCCGCAGGAACTCCACTAGGATTTGTGAATTTGTGGCTAGAATGATAGGGGCTGGAATTTCTTCAAGTCCTTCCCAGTTGTAGTAGCTCCTCTTAGCGATCCACGCCAGTGTTTTTGTTGTTGCGCCACAAATAACTAAGGTCTTCAACATTAAATCCATCGTTGAATAGTTAATGCACGGCTAACACAATCATAAGAGAAGAACCAAAGAGCTTCATCCAGGGTTGGTATGGGTCCTGGAAAAACTGGAAAGTCCTGCAATTTTATTTTGGCATTTTCCAGGACTGGAAAGTCCTGGGAAAAGGCTACTGGTCCTGGAAAGTTCTGGAAATCTGATAAAATCAAGTAAAAAATATGAGATGTATGGCAGACAGTAAGAATAATTAACATCGAGATCTAGAGAGTGAAAGAGTAAATGTAAATTTTAGAGTAGTGGAAAAATCAATCTGAGTCCTGGAAATTTGTTTCTGAAAAAGGGTACGAACCCATCATCTCTCATGGAAGTTTGAGCCAAGGTCAGCAGAGCTGAACAAAACGCGAGGTTGTGTGACGAAAGTAAGAACCAAGGAAAAAACCACTCTGCAATTTTCGTGGTCGTAAAATATCGCCGGTTTATCTCTGTTTTTATCAGAATGAATTGGAGAGACATCGGATCAACGAGCTCAGGCGACGATTTTTCCATGAAAACGGTAAGACCCTAAATTTTGCACGCCCAATTGGCTGCGACCCTGCCTTGGCCTGAGTATTTGTTTGTTTGAACGTGAGATTTCGATCTTGCGAAGGCAGTGGAATGCTCTTTTACTCTCCGTGAAAGAAAATATATGCATACCAATGTAATAATGCATAATTTTGTACTACTTTGAACACGTTCGTGTATTAAGTGTGCATATTTTAAGCTTAAAATAGTTTATTTTAATTTATCACCGATAAATATTGATCAAGCACTGGTCGCAGAGTAATCACATTTTCAGCGGCACTCAGTATAACGGTACAGATAACAAGCTTTCATTCCTTAATATTTTAGGTTCAAACCTGCAGGATTTTCATGAGCAAGATGTAAAACGAGTCCGCGATGACGATCATTGGTTGAGTTGCTTTCTTAAATCTCGTAAACAGGAAGTAAATGATGCGTTACCAGCCTTGGTAAGTTGTGAAGACGTTTGGAAATGCTTTCATCGTTGAATTCATGGCAAAATTCTCTTATTAAGAATCAGTTAATCGGCCAGTTTTGGTCACCCTACTGGAGTGCTAGTTTGGGGTTTGTTGGGGAGGAGGAGGGAGGATCTCACACTTAGCAAGGGATGAGTGGGTGAGATTAAAGGCCTTTACATCCAAGTTTACTGCAAATGTCTGCAGTTTGAGGTTAGACACTTGCCATTTGTGGTCCAATTTCACACACTGATTTCCATGCATTCAGATGTACATCAATACATAATGTCAGATTTACTAATTATTTTCATCTAGAGATCCCATGCTCATTTGCCACCTGTATGCAACTTTTTTAGAATTTATCAGACCAGAGACCAGAATGTTTTACTTTAACACTGCCATCTTCAAGATAAGACAACTGATTTTCAATGACTCAGAATCGCTGTTGTCACTGTTTCCTGATTGTTTGTCCCCATTTGCAGATCTCAGCATTCTTTACAGCATTTTTGGGCTGGATGCAATATGGGACAGAAGTTTTGAGAGAGTGTGAGAGGGAAGGAGAGGAGCATCATGTGAACTAAAGGCATCTGCGGTTGAGTGTTAATCGATACCCTTGATCAACCTGCGACTGACATCTTCATCGACACCCAATTGACATCCTAATTGATTGACTCTGTTGACATTCGATTGACAACTCGATATTTGACATCTCAATCGACACTCAATCAACAGTCAGTTATTAGTCAGCCGACTGTTGACAGACTCACATGCATTGTTCAAAAATTAGTTTACTCTCAACTGGCAGCCGACCAAGATGTCAATCAAGTGTCAACCGAGGTGTCGATGGAGTTTTAATCGAGTATTGATTGATTGTTGATCAAAGGTCAATTGCGGTTATCCATCGAGGGTATCGATCCAGGTGTCGATCAATACTCGACTATGGATGCCTTTAGTACACATTGGTCCAGAGAGGAGAGGGGTAGGGATGTGCATGATCCCAAACTGAACCATGAGCAATTTTGGGCACTTTTGCACAAGGCAGTATTTCCTGCAATTAATAAATCTCAATTTTGTGATTTAAGGTGCACCAAAACTGATAAATCTCTTTTTGTATTCTAATGTTACCATTCAGGGTACAAAGAAAAATTATTTTCTGACGTGCCTTTTGGACAAGCTATAAGTAGTATGTACTAGCCCAAAAGTTGTTTTCACTAGACCCCTAAAATTTAATCTTTCAAACATTTTTCCAAGAAATTTTACTTGCCTGTGACTAATCCCAGGCTATTGGATTGCTGCTGTCTTTGACATTAGGGACTATGATCAGGGATTGATTTCATTAGATGTAAGAGGACTAGTTTTAGGCTAATACAAACTTTGTACTTAATATTCTTTTTTGAGGTGGAATGCGTAAAATGGAGGAAGTCATTTGGAGTGAATGGTAATTACAATGATAATCATTAGTTTTTATTATTTATTGAAATTGATTGTATAAACAAACAATTTTAGTAAACTGTTAATTTTGTAAATCATTTTAATATTCAGTAATGTGTTAACAATCAATCATCATCATCATCAGTCCTTATTTTACCACTGGATGCAAAAGGCTTCAGTCTATTTATACACATATAATGTGTACATTCACTTTATCTTTCTCTCTGTATTCTCCTTTCTCCTCGCAGACCTTACAGAGAGATCTGTTGACCGCAGATTGCTTGAGGCTGGTTTCCTCTTTCCATATAATCAGGACAAAGATGGCAACACTCTCGGTAACTATCTACAGTAGAATTGAAGTCACAAGTCAAACTTGCATTGAAATCAAAGATTTACTTTTTCTCTCTGTGAGAACATTTTGTTTCCATTTTCAGCATTATTCCTAGTTACAATCTGTCAGTAAGAGAAATTACTTCAAATACATGTGTCAATAAGAAGACTGAAGTTGTTGTTGTTTTTTTCTTGCAGTCATCTTCACTGGAAAACTTTACAGAAAAGATCCTCAACAACATCCAGAAGTAAAGAGACTTCTTGTTTTTCTCTTAGAGAGGCATGTGAGTAAACTGTTTCTTGTTTTTTTCTGTCGTTTTGAGCTACCATGGGATTAGTAAATTCTTGAAATTCCTCTCAAACTCATTAGGTTTTATCTTCAACTCTTGCCTACTGATTGAAATTTCATCGTAATTCTTCTTTCCTTGCTGAGTAGGCACTATTTTAATAAATTCCTGACCTTTTAGAGTAGAATAGTTTTATCAAAAATTTATGACA